TATATATTTTGCTAGTTTAATTTGGAAAAAGTTTTCAGGGGAACACATTGCATCAAGAATCACACAGGCATTTCTGCAGGAAGCATACAGGGCAGTCCTCAGCAGTAACTGCCCTGTAACTTGTTCATTCAACATTGTGTTGTTCATGAGATGAAGGAAGAGGAGGGGCTAGCATTCCTCACTGGGGCCTTGATGAGTGTGCATGCTCCGGCTTGTGCTTCCCAGGCTGGACAGCAGAGTTCCAGGAGTCTGTCCTAACCTCAGACTCAGGCCTCCCTGTGCACATTTTCAGTTAAGTTACCCCTTGCTCTCCTCACCTGCCCTTAGCTCAGCAGAGGCAAGCTACTAGATATCCTTACCCCTCTTCTACCAGTAAGGTAACTGAAAACCTGCACTTAGTCTGCAAGACTCCATGAGTTTTGCAAGACCTAAATGAGTACAGAGTTTTTATTTCAGGTTATTAATGATCTGCCAAGATTTAAAATGGCATAACATTCCTTGGTTGGAGGCAAATTTTTAGAGCAGTAGACCTGACTCACTAATGAGTATGAAGAGCATACTAGTCAAGATGCTAATTTTTTTTTTTCTGGTACTAGGGATTGAACTTGGGATCTTGTGCTTATGCTGCTGGGCTATCTCACCAGCCCCAGATGTTGGTATCTTAAAAGAAACTCTACTAACTAGGTTCAGTCTATTAGGGTTTTAAAAAAATAGTCTGGGGAGATAGCTTAGCAGTCTAAGCACCTGTCTGGCAATTGCAAGGACCCAGATTAGATCCCTAGTACCACATGCCATGCTGGCCCTGGAACTTGGGGCACCAAAACTGGGCGTGGTGGCACCGGTCTATAATCCCAGAGCTGGGGAGGCTGAAAAAAAGAGGATCACTGTGAGTCCAAGCTGTGTAGCGAGACCCTGCATCAAATAAATAAATAACAAAAAAATCATGAAAACAGAAATGTAGCCAAAGGGCAAGGCTTTTAAAATAAAGGTTATTATTCTCCAGATATAGCAGCATATGTATTTAAATGGAAGTGAAACTCAGTCACACTATTTATTATTCATTGTAAAAATCTATTTAGAATTCAAATTGTTTTTATGGGAGAACAGGACTTTTGCAAAATGTATCCTCTCATACTCTGAAACTTGGAAGTTCCCAAGAACACCTGGAAGTAATGTTGTATCATAGGATGTCATATACACCAGTAATGAATGTCACATGGGATCAGGGCATAGGGATCTAGAGACAAGACTGTGGGTTCTGAGTCAGCAGAACACATGATTGAACCACAGACTGGGTCAGGGACCAAGGGCTTGAGGATCCCTGGGTGCTCATCTTTGCAAGGCTGAGAACTCAGCAAATGGCAGTGTCAGCATTTAGAAGGACCCCACAATATCTATGTGTTAGCTTGAGCGGGGCGGAGCTCAGAGCACATCAAGGTCCTAAAAAAAGCATACAAAAGGTTAGGAAGAGAATGTAAGAAAGGTGGTGAGAAAGGATCATAGAAATTAATTTCATTTATAGAGTTTTAGTCACTTTCACTCTTATGTCTTTGAAAATAATTACTACCCAAAGACTTCTCTATTAGTTGGCTCTCAACCTTAGGTGACCTTGTCTTCTAATCATGGTTGCCACTGCTTTCTGAATTTTCTTCAAATTTTGATTTCTCTATCTTAAGAAGCTCATACCCTGCCTGACATCTTTCCTGCCTCTGGATCTTTCCTCTTCAGGGTGCCTCTGCCTGGGTAGTACTCTTCCTTGTCTTCCTTTCAGCTCTGTCTCAGAACACCCAATCTATCCTTTCCTGCCTTCACAGAGGTCCCCTCTAATCTCTGAGCATAACAACAAAATTGGTACCTTTTAAATAGTGTGATCATATAGATTACTGTCCAAACCAGAGTACTTCTGGAAGTAAAAGGGAATGTTTTTAATTAAGTATGTTTCTGGATAACAGGTATAAATTAGAACTCTCCCAAGCAAACAGGATTACATGTCCAGCTTCAGAGCATTTATGCTGTGTCATACCATCCCATTGACAGGCAGATTTTGAAAGCAGTCTTTGGATCCCCTGCATCCAATCAGTTTTTCTTTTTTGTACAGTCTCACTTTATAATTAAGGATGGCCTTGAACACACTATGTAGTCCAAGTGTGATCATATTTATTATTATGAGTTTGACATAGAAATCTTCCTGCCTCTGCCTTAGAGATGCTGAGATTACAGATTTGCACCACCATGACTGGTTGGCCTGCCTTCCTTGTTCTCACTCTTAAACTTTTTATTTGGATTTACAGAAATTTGCAAAGATAGTAGACTTTCTGTATACCTCTCAGCCATATTTTTCCCCTTATAAATATTTTGCATTTCGAAGGCTACATTTGTCAAAATTAGGAAGCACCACTGGTTTATTACTATTGATCATAACCTTCATTCTGATTTAACCAATTTTTCATTAATATCTTCTTTCTGTTCCAATCCAGAGCAGGGTAGAACACTACATTTCATTTTCATATGTTCCTCATGTGTGGCCCTCTCTGATCCTTTCCATATTTTTATGACCATGACAGTTTAGAGGTACACTGGCTAAATGCTCCTGAAGATGCACATTCCTTGTAGGTATGTGCCCCGAACTAGGTGTGTATTTTCTCATAATTAAGACATTATGGAGTTCTGGGAGCATCCCATGGAGGTGAAGTTCCCTTCTCATTGTTAATATTAGGCAGTATATGATAGTCATCTGCTATCATGATAGTGTTTTTCCTTTCTGTTTTCTGGAAGCAAGTCACTAAGTTTAACCCATTAGAGTAGGCTTGAAGTCTACTTCTTGGGAAGAGTATTTTACACTTATTTATTTAAAAATGGACAATTCTTTTTTCCAATAACTTTATTTCTGTTTTAGTTTAAGAGGTTATAGGAAAACAGCTTCAGATGTCTTTGTGGTTGTTCCTGATGATTCAGTGGCTTGTTCAGTGGGAGCTGAAGCCCAGTCTTCAGTGGAAGACTGAGAGCCCATCTTCAGTCAAGATCTGGTAAGTCAGCATAGGGTTTCTGCACAGCCTGCACCTCAGGCAGCAGTAAACCCAAGAGCTTGTAGAATCCATTTACCCTGAAACTCCTCCTCTTCACAGCCTTTTGGCACCAGCCTATTATTTTTTCCAGTAAGAATCTCCTCATAGGCAGAGATTAGGCAGGACTTCTAATGGGTATTCACTGGAGAACTTCTGGACTACCATCACATCAGATTGAGTGTCCCTTGTTACACAGATGGCAGTATCCACAAAGGAGAAACTGCTACATACAGTAGTGACAGGTATATTAACTAAGACACTTCTGAGAGGCTGGTTATCAGCAAAAGAGATTGGTTACTCGCAAAAGACGGCTCCCGGAAAGCTCCTTGGAACTGGCTATTGGAGGGTCCAGCAGTGAAGCATCTGGCAGCGAGTGACTGTAGCAGCACTAGCAAACCTAAGCACAGCTAGTTGGACAGTATGCTTGGATGACGTGACACTGGCGCCAGCTGGGTTTCCAATGGTGTAAGTCACTAGCAGATGTTTTCCCCTGGGTTTTCATCAAATTTATGATATAGCTATCACTTTCCCCTCTGCAGTTGTACTGTAATTTGGAAATAAAAGTTGCTGTCATCTAAATGAGTTTGTGCTGCAAGGAATTTGAGGACATCCTCCTTTTCATTTATAGGACATGAAGGGCACTAATTCTTTTTTCTCTGCTGTGGTACTGGGGATAAAACCCAGGAACTTATACATAGTATGCAAACACCACAGAGCTACACTCTTGTAGCATGGAAGGGTCTACATGAGTATTTGGAATTCTTTAAGGAAGAATTCTTTCCCACTCATTAATTTTTATCATAATACACTACTGTATGTTTTATATCTATATTTTGTACTTGTACCTTTCTGCAGATAATTCCTGCTTTTACTGTACGCCCATGTAACTAGATTATCTGCTTCAGAGATTTCTTTTGGACTTTTATATAAATAGATTCATACCTTATGTGGCTTTTTCATCAGGCTTATTTTACCTAGTAAAAGTTTTTGGGGTTCATCTATGTTTGCAACATGTACCAGTACTCCACTGTATGGATGTTATTTTAAGAAATCCATTTACCAAGTGATGTTTACTCAGATTGTTTCCAACTTTTTTTTGACAAATATGAATAATACTGCTATGAACATTTATATAAAATTCTTTGAATTAACACATCTTCATTTCTCTTCAGGTGGCATATTGATGAGAATTGGGATATAATATGGTAAGCTTATGTTTAAATTTTTTTTTTGTCTATACACTGAAACTTTATTTTTATTTTTTTCCCAATATTATGTTTAAATTTTTAAACACTTAGGTTTTTAATAATACCAATTTATTCTAGTGAGCATCACATACTATCTTACTTTGGTTCTGATTTGCATTTTCCTAATACATAGTGTGGTACACGTCTTTTCATATGCTAAGATGTTTGTATGCCATCTTTGCTGAAATGTCTATTTGAATCTTTTGTCCATTTTAAAATTATTTGCTTAGAGTTTGTACCTTAACTTTTGGTACCTTAACAACTCTTCCCAAATGAAGGTTATCTAAGTTTTCTCCCTGCTTCATGTAAACATCTTAGTTTTCTCTCTTACATTCAAGTTTTTGATCCATTGTGTTTTAATTGTATGCTGCAGTACGAGACTTAATCTTTTTATTTTTTTGTACCTGCTATCCAAACGTGCTAGTATTATTTGAAAAGATCATCTTATCTCAGTGAACTGAACCGTCTTGGCACCTTTGTTCAAAATCAATTGATCACGAATATGATGGTTTATTCCTGTATTCTCTCCTATTTCGCTAATCTATACTCCTATCTTTATATCAACAAACACTACTAATTATTGTCATTGCACAGTAAGTTTTGAAATCAGGAAGTGTTCACTTCCAGAATTATTTTATCTATTCTGGATTCTATGCATTTCCATATAAATTTCAGGATCAACTTCTCAATGTTTTAATGAAGCATGCTATGACTTTTTCCAAACCAATAACTGCATCCTTTCTTCTCTCATTAGTTTATATGCTCCTTTCTTTTTTTTTTTTTTTCCGGAACCGGGGATTGAACTCAGACCCTTGTGCTTGCTAGGGAAGCGCCACTGAGCCATCTCCCCGGCCCCTCCTTTCTTAATTACATAAATTTATAAGGTCTGATACTAATAATTCAATATATGTATATAGAATATAAAGATCAAATCACAGTAGCTAACATTTCCATCTCTACATATTTTTAAAACTTTTGGGGCCAGGGAGATGGCTCAGTAGAATAAGCACTTGCCTGGCAAGCACAAGGGTCTGAGTTCAATCCCCGGTTCTGCCAAAAAAACAAAACAAAAAAACCCCTTTTGATTAATATAATTTGCTGTCAGAAAAAAACCCAAAATCAAAATCCCAAAGAGATCTTATCCCAGTTAGCATGGCTAGAAAAACAAAGAATAAGGGGTTGGCAAGAAGAGTTGGTGATGCAAACCTATAAACCTAGCACTTAGGAAGCAGGAGGACTACTGTAGGTTGGGGTACATAGTGACTTCAAGGCTAGTCTGAAGGACTTGCAAAACCTGTTTTTAAAAAAGGGGGTGGGCACCAGTGTGATAGCTCAGTGGATGAAGCACCTGTGTAGGCAAGTGTAGGGACTGGGGTTCTATTCCCTGGGTGCACTGAGCTGAGCTGCACAGTGAGACCCTTATACCAATTACATTAAAAAAAAAAAAAAAAAAAAAGAAAAGAAAAGAAAAGAAAAAGAAAAAGAAATTCTAACTTTACCATACTCTTTAAGGGCTTTTTAAATGTTATAACTGTATAAGGCAAGTGAGCACAATCCCTAAATAAAGTCTTTGCTTTAGAGGGTCCTTAGGGTAGTAGAATCACTTGAAAAGGCCAGGGGGTAGAAGTTGGGAGGCCGTTACAGGTAATTCTTTATATTCTATTTCCTATCTAGGCTCATTAGGGATGATTTAATTTCTTTTTTAATGGTACTGAGGACTGAACCTAGGGCCTTGTGCATACTAAACAAACTCTAAACCCTGAGCCACATCCTTAGCCCTCTGTTCTTTTTTACCAGAAAAATACTTTATTCTGTGTAAAGATTTGCTTAAATACTGTTTTATAAATATTCAAATAATAATTTTAAAACAACATGTATCATGTGATTCAGAGAAGCAGATAATACTGGAGGCAGAGGTAAAGGTAAGTTTTTTTTTTTTATTACATAAGGAATTTTGTATTACTTTTTATTGTAAGGGTTTGTGTTGATTTTATAAATGTATAAAAATTTAAATATATAAAAAGAAAATGTTTCCTGAGAGTATCTCTTATAGTTCAGGATGAAGTCCTTCAATTACAACATTGTATCTAAGTACTTTGGAGGATGTGAAATAAGGGATAAGATGGAAAGTAAGGGACAGTTCTGAAAGAGGCAGGGACTTGAGACATGGAGATATGCAAGGAGCAGAATTAAGATTCAGTGAAGGTAGGTAGATATATTCACCTGCTTATCAGTACATAAGACAGCTAAGGTATTACTGGGTAGCAGGTGATTTCATTGAAAGGAGCAGTAGAATGAAGACTTTCATGGAATCACTGTAATAGCTAGGTGGAAGTAAATTTCTACTTCCTGGGAAGAAACATCACTGGGACATGTGGGATGGCCTGGACTTTAGGAAACAGTGAGGAGTTTTTGGAATGCAAGAAATACAACTAACTGCTATAGTCTACAAAGGAAGAATAGCAACAAGGATGGGGTACAAAGTACTGTAGGACAGAAATGACCAGGATAGATGAGAACGAAGGGAGAGTATATGCCCTTAGAAAGCTGAGGGCATCTTGAAATCTGTATAGTACTTGATTTAAAAAAGGGCTGGGGGTGTTGCTTAGTGGTAGGATGCATGTCTAGCATGTACAAGGCCTCACATTTGATCTCCAGAATGATCCCCACCCCTGTTTGCAGTATGAAAAGAAGAATCCACATAGACAACAAGTAAGAAAAATCCAAAGTGAAATACAACCCAACTTACCACTCTGGTTAATTGCCAGTTCTAAATATGATGGTTAAACTTTCAAGGTCTTCATTCTTTAAGTGTAATTCTTCTAGCATGGTAGCTATAAACTGTGTAAATAACACATTTTTTTGAGAATGCGTCTGAATGCCAAGAGCTGAATTCAGTCTGAAACAATCAAAAATAAATGAGAAGAGTGAATGGACTCATCTTCAACATGGCAGGAAGGTCTGATGTCTCTGAGGTAACAACATTCCCAGAGAAAAGCTTTATTTAAAATGGCAGCAAAGTCTCAGGAAAAAAAGAACAAATATTGTTAAGAAAAGAGATCTGAAAATTGAGATCATGTTTTTATTATGTCAGTGAAGTCTACTAAAATTCTGTTTAGAAAATAAAGTGAATTTCCATTTAGAGAAGGGAAGATATAGAGAAGAGCTGAGTACTATTTTAAAGTAATTTATGTGGAATATTTGGATTATACTGTGAGAAAAAGATAATAAATGCAATTATTTTTACATGAATAACAGTGTGTTTTTAATAACACTAAATAAATGAACTATGTTTTCCGAGGCATTTAATACCAACTTGGTAAGCAAATCATATGCTTTTTCTCACTAATTATTTCTGGTAATAACTCTAAAGACTGAACTGATTGCATATAACGGAAGTTTTAAAGTAATTTTCACTGAAGTATAGTAAGCAAGATTTTTTTCCCATAATTTTATTGATAAACAAATAGCAATGAGACAGTTTCAAATCAAATTGGTAGGACAGTTTCAATAATTAACACAT